TGATGCTGTCTTTCCAGCCGAACTGCTGCCCCCTTTCATTTCAACCTTCCAACGACTTACCCGGAGCTCGCATCTCTCTTGTCTTTGGGTAAACTCTTCCCCCGACTCTTTATCTTCGATGTTGCTTCTCAATTGTGGTCTTAATAGATTCATGACAATCACATTAATGCTTCCCCGCTAAAGCCTAGTAATTAGAAGAGTTGAGTGAGACACCTCCTGTAGTGACTAATCTTATTGTTAGCATAGGGATTTATTATTAAAACCATCCATGTATGCAACGTTAGATTAATTGATTAGTTTGCAATCTTAACTTCCACGCATGTGATTTAGCCTAAGCTTGGTTTATCGTCTTATTATTTTATCTTAGCATTTAAATCGGCATAAGTTTTATTGAGAATTGTTCTTGAACAGTTAAGCGTGCAAATTTCCCTAAGCAACTCATCTTCACATGTATTGTTTTACATCAAACACCTGTTGCACAGCTTTGGTATTCGTCTACATTACATGAAATCTATGGCTGTGGATTGCCTTTCCTGCTGGTTGTTAATGGCCTTGTTCGCACTGACCGGTATCAAGCTTGCATTTGGGTGTAAAGCTTTTTGCATTGTCGGCAAGAAATATTGATCCAAAAAGTGAAATCAAGTTGGCTTTGAAAAAAATGCTTTAAGTTTTAGATCCAGTGAGATAGATATTGAGATTGGCAGAGTTATGGAGGATGCTACAATTGTTTCTTTAACAAATGTTTTAATTAGAATATTGAAGATTGAGGTATGGCAATGTTTTGAGAAGAATTTTGTTACTATATCTAAAAACAAATGAGATGTTTAGAATCATCTTAATTATAGTGAAATCAAATTTATGACTCAGTATAAAAAAATTATAGGAGAGAATTGAAGGAAGATGGACTTTTTAAAATTACTTCATTTTTGAATAATTAATTTTGTTTCATACTGAGTTGATATACTAAGGATTAATGAAGTATAGAGAATAGAGAAATGGTTTAAAATAATTTTTATTGATCCTAAGAAAATATGAATTATGGAGGTCAACTTTAGACTCTAAAGGCTTTCATTTGAGTAGATCTAAAACTGAATATATGGAGTGTAATTTTAATAATAATAGATATAGTGGGGGGATCGTGACTTTGGGCGATCAAGTCATTAATAAGAGCACACATTTTAGATATTTGTGAATGCATCGGGCTTGTTGTGTGATAGAAAAGTCCCTCTCAAACTTAAGGGAAAATTCTATAAGATGGTAATGAGACTTGCAATGCTTTATGGTGCAGAATGTTGGCCATTAAAAGAGAAGCATAATATGAAGTTAAGTGTTGCAGAGATGAGGATGCTCAAGTGGATGAGTGGATTTACTCTTAAAGGCAGGATACGAAATGAGCATATACGCGAAAAGGTTGGAGTAGCTCTAGTGGAAGATAAGATTAGAGAGTCGCCTTAGATGGTTTGGTCACATAAAATGGCGGCCTTCCGATGACTCGATTAGGAAAGTAGATGTATTAGATTTGACTTATGTTAAGAAAGGTAGAGATAGACCTAACAAAACTTGGTTAGAAAATATTAGAAATGACCTCTCGTTATTAGATTTACATGAGAATTTGACCCTTAACAAGACACAATGGAGAAAAAAGATTCATGTAGCCGACCCCACAGTGGGATAAAAGCTTGTTATTGTTGTTGTTGTAAGAAAACTTATGGAGTATCACGAAAATCATTTTTGTGCATATTGAGGAAGAAATTTGTGTCACAAGTATAGTATAAATGGAGCTGTGCCTATGGAATATTACAGGATAATGGATTATTTTGAAGACTCAAGGGTGTGTTTATAAAATTGCAATGATGTTGGCTATGGATGTACGACCATTAACTGGATTTTTTTAAATAGAATGATAGGGAATACTGTATTGTATTTGATTTTATTTACCAACCAAAATTAATTATGTAGAAAGTGAAATTTTTCCATATGGAGTATTAAGGTTTCATTTGGACGGCGTGCTCACTGCTTCTTAAAGAATGTTTTCAGTAAAAAATTAAATTTTTTATACTAAAAAACTGTTTTAAGAAGCAGTAAAAAAGCCGTCCCAAACGAAGCCCAAGTCTTCTTGGAAGTAGCAGAAATTGTTTGCTGTCAACTTTTCACAACCATTTTTTCAAATTATTCTTTTCTTGCAATATATAATCAAAACGATTGTCCTCAGCTTCTTATATTTGTCCATTTACTTCATCAGTCATGTCAACCTTTTGATTCTCTTAACTTGTCCTGCCTAAACTGTTTGGTGTTGTTTACAACACTAAATTTCAGAGAGAAGTAATGCTGAAAAGTCTTGATCGATTTTGGAGAGACCACTTGATAAACATGAACAGGCTTAGTTCAGCGGTAACTTCTTCCTTTGATCTTATAATACAATTTCACAAATTTCTGAATACAAACTTCACAACTGTTTTGCAGGTGAACGTCAGGAGTTTTGGGCATAGAAATCCGCTGGAAGAGTACAAAATAGACGGGTGTCGTTTTTTTATCTCAATGCTCAGTGCAACAAGAAGACAAACTGTTGAATCCTTGCTGCAATATTGGTCATCGTCGGTGGAATCTGAAGAGTTTGTTACACCATAATATTGGTTTTGCATAGGCATTAAAGAACCGTTTCTCTATAGTTTGTTCAAGAACATAAATTAATTTTCTGCCGTTTCTGCGTCATTCTTGTTTTTATGGTGATTGATATTTAGTCTACTTACTTTAGATATGTACTAGAAACCACCCAATAATACAAAATCTTTACCATTTTCCCTCTTCTTTATGCTCCTCATGGTTGCTTGAACTAGGGGCGGAACCAACAATAATTTTTAGGGGTGGTGTCAATTGCCTCCCCTAGCCATAAAGGGGTTCTGCCCCTGGCTTGAACTAACAAATCATATTCTGAAAGATAAAGTTGGTTTAATTCTTTATTTTGTTGAACTTAGGGTTGCAAATGAACCGAGCCATGCTAAACTTCAACATGTTCAAGCTCAAACTCGTTTGCAGGACCCTGTTCGATCTCGACTCATTAACAATTGAGCTTTTGTGGCCTCTGTTCAATTTAGAAAGCCCTTGCTCGAGCTTGACTCGTGTTCACATTTGAGCTCGATTATTTAAGCTTATTGAGCAGCTCGGTAATCCAAGTCAATGTTTCGGCTCATTTAGATAAAATAAAACCGCAATTAAACATAACTAGCAAAGTCAGTGCCAATCCGCTCACTGCATGCTTTACAACAATTGCTGGTAGAGAGAGAGCGAGGGAGAGAGAGAGAGCGCAAAAGGATAGCTGTTCATGTTCTGTGGGGCTAAACATTTTTTATTTTATTTTATTTTTTTTTTTTGGGAAAATGAGGGCAAAGCCCATATATTACTATGTAAAAAAAGGTTATAAGTAAGGTATAATAAAAAAGGTTTAAACTTCAAAAATTGAAGAAAAACTAAAAACCTATACCCCCCACATTAGACAAAAAGAAAAAGAACACTGCCCAGAACACAGTCCACAAAACTTAGGTGCAAGAGCACCTAAAGGACTCAGACTGCTAATCCGAAATCAAGTTGATCAAAATGGCACCCACAAAGAAATAATCTCCTGGTTGCCCCAAAAGAAAGGCCCTCCTAGGAGATGATTAGCAGCTACATCATCGTCCTGTACGGAAACGAAACGAGCCAACCAAATCTCCAAATAAGGGAAGCAGAGAGACAACAAACCAAGAGATTAAGAACTATGCCCAGCGAAACAGAACCAGAATCAGAATAGCTATGTCCTTCCAGCGTCAAAAACCAATAACAGTAAACTTTCCCACATGAGAACAGACAACATCACGGCTCAAGCAGCAGGCCCCGGTTCCAGATTACCGAGAATAGGTGACGAAATTCGAAGATTAATCGCAGATTTCCAGTTGATAATCTTAGCATCAACAGCATTTTTGATAAGCATAGAAAGAGTAGTTGAGCATCTAGTTTTGAAATTAAACATTCTTTCATTCCTTTCTCTCCAAATGAAATATGTGGCACAGCCCACAGTAATGAGAAAAAATTCTTTTTTATTTTTTGTCAAGTGAGTATGATCCCCCAAGAAGGAAAGCACTTGAATGAGCCTGGGCCTTAACAGAAATTCTCCCACCAAAGGAATCAGATTTTTCAAGACATTGAAAGCATAATCACATTCAAATAGAAGGTGGCCAATAGATTCAAAATTTGAAAAACATAAAGAACAGGTAGAATTAACCATAATATTCCTTTTAATAAGCTCCTCCGCCGTTTTAAGCCCATTATTGATAGCTAACCAAGTGGTAAAAGAGAGGCGGGCGGGAGAAGAAAAATGGGTAATATAGGAGAGAGAGAGAGAGGTGGGTGGGTTCGACGGGAGTATAAAAAATGGGAATTTTTTATCTTTTTTATTAATTAGTTAAATAAGGTGAGGCTTAATCAAATAAGATATAATATTTACTTTTAATTAAGGCATAATCTAGCTCTAATAGAGCTTTAAATGAGTTTTAATTTTCTTAATGAACATATTCATAAGCTTTAAATGATACTATTCGTGAACATAAACGAACCGAATGACAAGCTGTTCAAATTTTTGTGTATTTAGTTATCGAGTATTTATCAAAAGTGTTTAAGCTCGTTCGTTTAACTTATCAAACAAACATAAATGAGATCTTATTGAGACGAGTCATGAGCAACTCATTGAACGCTTGATTCATTTACAGCCCTAATTGAACTTAGCACCATTGAGTTTCAATTTTCCTAAATCTTAAAATTTTAAACTATATCAAAAGTATTTTATTTTAATGTCTATCATAAGAAGAAAAGTAAATACTTGATCATTACATATTATAAATCAATATTTGCTAATAAGATGTATCTAAGTTTAATATAATTTTTAATTTGATCACAATATCACATTAAATTTCAGATAGCAATGTAACATATGATTAATATTGATATATCTTCAAATTTTAACTTGATCAATATAAATTTGGAGTTATCGATTGAATTGAAAACATTTAAAATCAAATTTAAGATCGTCAAAATCTTGATTTCAAATATTTTATAATCAACTTGAATGTTACTAAAAGATGAATTTAATGATATCAAAAGTAATTTTATTTTTAAGTTTAAATGAATTCAAATCAGATATTTGAAATATAATGGATATTAGTTGGAATTATAATCAGATATTTGAAATGACTTTTAAATATTGCATGTTAATAGCTAAATTTAGTGGTTTGATGAGTTGAATCAAACAAGCCTTAGCTCATTTGATTCCAATATCATTAATGAAGCAAACGTTAGATAAATGATTTATGATTAAGTGCGTCAATAAATGTTTAATGAAGTATTATAAATTTTGGACAAATTTATTAAATGTTCTTTTAAAAAAGCTATTGTATCTTATTTTTAACAAAGAACTTTTGTATTTTTTGACAGTTAATGTGGATGATCATCGTTAATAATAATCGTCATCATTTTCTAACTTTCTAATATTTGTTATATGACTATTAATGTCTAATTATTAACATTTAACATCCTTATAGAACTTATTATCTGCCTATGGACACGTAACTTTTATAATCACCATCACGGGTATTAAACAATTTTTTATAATTATATAATCCCATCTTTAATTGTAAAGAAAAGCAAAATCTTGTTTCTAGAATTATATATTGTTGTAATTGAGCTAGACCCATTGGTTTTTCTTTTTTAAGTTTTGGTGTCTCTTACAACTTTTTCTATGCATGCAAGGTCATTATACATGCCTAAGATATTAAAAGCTACATCGTAAATTGTTTTAACATGCAACTATTTGGCACCATAAATGAGAAACATTTCCAACCTATGACAATTATTTTTTAATGGTTTATAATAAATCCCTCAATCATGGATAAACTAATATACGTGATGAAGGTCACCAAGCTTCACTTTGGAGGATCAGATATGTAGGATGGTAGAACTTCAAGTTAAAATTATGCAACTCCTAGAGAAGATAGGAGAATAAAAAACATCATTACTACATGATGAAGTTATCATAATACTAAATCAACAATAGTTTCAAGTTGATATATTTAATGCCACTCAAATAGCACCTCCTCATCCACAATAACCTCATCAACATCTCTCAAATACTACTAATGCAATCTATCATTCCTAAATTACTCAACAATTCTTTATTCTCCATCAGTTATGGAGTACTTAAATCAACATCATCTTATAGAGATAAGTTGTGAAATCATATTCAAGAATAATTCCCTTTTAAGGGAAATGAACTAGTTTATATCTCAGCTTAGCTGTTAAGAATCTTCACCAGTGACTAATGCAATTCTCCATGGTCATATTCCAACGAATATGTTGTAGTTAATACTTTGGCGAGTTGATGGCAACTCTAAGTGAAAAATTAGGCTAGTTGCTTATGAGTCCTTACAAAGTGAGCCGTGACAAGTCATCTACTTTTTAGCTTAGGGCGACTCTTGAAAAGTACCCTAATGTTGACTACGTCTGAGAGTGAGGAGAGATGAACTGAATAATCAAGAAATGATGAAAGTATGGGTGTAGTATAAGCATTAATTGTAGATGTGATTAGAATCTTAGAATGTGTCCCCACCCTTCCTTATAAATAACCCCTCATATACTCATTAGAGGCATTAGATTTTATTAAAAAATTTACCCTCATCCTTCGCAATTGTTAGATACTATAATGGAAACTCTTTGTAAATGTGCCATGACTTTCATTAATGCTAACAATTTGCATTCATCCATGACGATGCAAATTATGCCTATATGATCTATATCAACTAATGTTATGAAAATGAAAATCTACAAGTGCAAGTTTTGGATGAGGATGAGCACTTGAATATCATTTACTAAGAGGAGTTGTGTATCCCCTGTGACCACTTTAAGTTGGTATGGTCCCTTTTCGTAAGGAATCTTCCCTTGAGTATCATTGGACCCATTCTTGTGTAGTTACTTTCGAAATCAGAGGTTAGTGGCATCACCTTTATTTCTTTTTTGTTGATGCACAAACTACCCAAGACACTAATTGTGCTTGGCCATGTCTTCACAATCAAAGAATTTCAAAGACGTGTATATGATAAGTAAAAAATGCATCATCCAAATTATGCTTATTTTCACAAAAATGCTAATTAAGTTTTCCTTTTTGTACATGAAAGAAGCAAAAACACCTTATAATTAAAGTTGCGCTGCAATACCACAAACAGAGTGTCATAGTGCTATGCACATCCTGAGAGCCGGAGCGTAGGTGGCAATGTTGTAAAAAGATAGAGAGCAAAGCTCCGAAGAGCCAAGGAAAGAGCGTTGTAACACCAAATCACCATAACATCATGGCGACTAATAGTTATCAATTATCAAACTAGTGAATTGATGCAACTCGATAGCACCACAATGCTACCCAAGTCATCCTCGTGGAGCTAGATCAATTATTTGTGAAGGCTATAAATAGGAAGCTTATTTCTCATGAAGAGTGATTATTATTGGAGGATTGGAGAGGATTATGAGTGGGGGCTCATGATGCCCTAGGACCTAATGGAAAGATTGAAACCCTAAACTTATAGTTTTTGCTCAACCGTGAACCAAAAATAATTAGGGATACTAAAACCCAAATAATAAAAATCATGTAAGACATTTCAATTTACAAAACCATACACAACAACCCTATTTATTAGTCATCTGCACATCAAAATAACTAAAAACTTGTTTACAAAATAATGCATTTTCACTTTGATCCACAAGAATCTACCTCTATTAGACCTTTTTCTT